CCCCCCCCCAAAAAATGTATGACTTCCACAGCACAAGGAATAGGTGGAAACGGGATGGAAGTATACTGTTAGAGTCTTACATTATGTGAAATTCTATAACATTTGAAGGTGGATTATGACCATATGCGGTGGCTTATGCCTATAATCCTAGCACTTTGGGAGGCTGAGGCAAGAGGATTGATTGAGCCCAGGAGTTTGAGATCACTCTAGGTAATAGTGAGACCCCCCCCATATCTGCAAAAACTAGGAAAAGAAAAAAAAATTAACCAGGTATGGTGCCATGCACCTGTAGTCCCAGGTACTTGGGAGGCTGAGACAGGAAGATCACTTGAGCCTAGGAGTTTGAGGTTGCGGTGAGCTATAATGATACCACTGTACTCTAGCCCAGGCAACAGAGTTTGATCCTGTTTCAGAACAAAAAGGTAGATTGTGATAAGTTAAACATGCATGTTGTAAAGCTTAGAGCAACCACTAGCCTCCTCCCAGAGTTAATAGAAGAGACAAAATGGAGTCCTAAAAAATAAACCAAGAGAAGACAGAAAAGGAAAAAAGGAACAAAATAGGTGAGACAAACAGAAGTATAGGACTACTTTGTTATACATCTTATACCCATCAGGTAAGAAATCGCCAAAGGAAAAACCTAAAACCTAAAAAAACCTAAAAACCTAAAAACACCTTATAATTACCAGTTGGAATGAGATAAAGAATAAATATTTATGATAATCAGACTTGCACAAATGGAATTTTGTTGCTTTTGTTGCTGATAAAATCAGCTACTTCTCATTCATTCAGCATTGAAATTGGTTTATCATGATAGAAGAGATGATTTTTGTTTATAAATGTCTACATCCTGGCACAAAGTCAAAAGATTTAAAAAGAGGTAACACAGGGCAAAGGAGGAGTGTTGGGAAAGGACCTAAAGTACTCAGTGCTATTGGAGTTGGGGCAATTGCACGATTTAGGTAGTAGAACTAGAAATGAGTGAAATTAGGATACCTCTGGAACTTTACCAATTAATGCATCAAGCAGAAGAGACATTTAAAATGTATCCTAGGCCAGTGCATATTTGACTATACACTGGCTGAATGTATGAACATTCCTAAAGAGAGAAGGTGTATCTTTAATCAACTTGATCATTGTGTAAGTTAGGAATGCTTTTGACTACAGCTAATAGACTATTGTACTTATAATAGCTTAAGCCATAAATCCCTTTTTCCTTTTTTTTTTTTTTTTGAGACAGAGTCTCACTATGTCACCCTTGGTAGAGTGCTGTAACATCATAGCTCACAGCAACCTCAAACTCTGGGGCTTAAGTGATTCTTTTGCCTCAGCCTCCCAAGTAGCTGGGACTACAGGCACCTGCCATAATGCCCAGGTATTTTTTTTTGTTGTTGTTGCAGTTGTCATTGTTGTTTAGCAGGCCCAGGCTGGGTTCAAACCTGCCAGCCTCGGTGTATGTGGCCAGCTCCCTAACCACTGAGCTATGGACTCTGAGCCACCCTTTTTTCTCTGAACTCAGTCAGAAATCTGGAGTATCTAGTTCAGAGCTTGTTCAGCAATTAATTAACCATGCTATCAAGAACCTGGGGTTTTGGCTCGGCACCTATAGCTCAACCGGCTAAGGTGCCAGCCACGTACACCTAAGGTGGCGGGTTCAAATCCCCAGCCCGGACCAGCCAAAACAACAATGATGGCTGCAACCAAAAAATAGCCAGGCATGAGGCGGAGGCAAGAGACTCGCTTGAGCCCAGGAGTTGGAGGTTGCTGTGAGCTGTAATGCCACGGCACTCTACCCAGGGGGACAGCTTGAGGTTCTGTCTCAAAAAAAAAAAAAAAAGAACCTGGGGTTTTTAAGCCCTTCAACTCTGCCAGTCATCCTCAGCTCATCTTGTGAACACAAGAGGACTGCAATAACTCTAAGCATTAGGGCCTCACACTAGCATCTCACAGGAAGGAACAATCAGAAGCGAAAATCTTTCTCCTAATAAGGCTCTCTCTCTCTTTTTTTTTAATCTGGAAAGCAGTCTTTCCCAGAATTCTGTGAAAGTTCGTCCTTATGTCTCCCTGGATAGTGCAGGCAATATGGCTCTACATGACTGCAAGGGAGGTTGGGAAAATGAGTATCTGGCAAAAGTGAATGGAGATCCTACGTTTGGCCGAGACTAATGATTCTTTGAGGTTAGGTACATTGCTTCTTAAACAAAATTGGGTTTCTGTAGCAAGGAATTAGAAGGGGATGGCTGTATGGCAGGCAACTAAAGGTGTCTGCTAGGTTCAGGCCTGGAAGCATAGAAAAAGTAGAATTGCAGAGGCCAAAATTGGCACCACTCAATCCGCAATTGTGCTGGGGCAGGAATACTCTCATGGAAGAACTCCAGTAGTTGAATCTTGAAACATATGAATCGTGGAGATGGATATATCTGTCTGTCTTTCTTCATTCATTTATTTAGCAGGTTTTTATTGTATCAGGTATTATTACAGTCTCTGGAATTATAGCAGTAGAAAAATCAGACAAAATCTTTACTGTTACAGTCTTACCGAATGTGACTGATTTCATGTTTATCAGTAAATCTTCTAGTTATAGCAGTTGGGCTTCTCATGGTCCCCAAGCCATCTACATCTCCTTATGGATTAAGAAATTGTTATTTTCATTTGATATATCAGTCTCTTGGCTGATGTGGGTCCTCTGGGGACACAGATTTACCTTTAGCGAAGTGACAAATCTGGTTTTTGACTTGCAGATCTGAGGGCCAGTACGTGAACCATAGGAAATTCAACAAAGCATTTTCAACCCTCTGAGCCTTCATGGAAGACAAAGAGCCACACAGCTTTCTCCAGTTAATACAGCAGTAGCGCAGGTGAGCTCTCCCCCTATTTAGAATATTTATACTTATTCATATATGGGAAAGGGGTATAAGAAGGAAATATAGTTACAAGCATTTGAAATCTATCCAAGAAATGAGTAGTGACCTTGAAACTCTGATTTGGCAATGCATTATGAACTAATTGGATTACAAATCATTCCTCATTCAAAGTTTAAAAAATTCCTGTTGACGGTCATTTAGATTGTTTCTATCATTTCAAATCGTGTTGTTATGAACATTCTTGTAATGTGTCCTTGTGTACAGCAGCAAGAATTTATAGGGTATTTACTTAGGATTGGAATGTCAAAGGGTATGTATGTGATCAACTTTGTGAAATAGTGCTATCTTGCTCTCCAGAGTGATTATACTGTTTACAACCTGTACTAGCAATGAATGAGAATTTTTGGTGTTCTTTGTCATCACCAACAGTTGATATTTTCAGACTTTTTGATTTTTGCTTCTCTGATGTGTATAAAATGGTATCTTATCATAGTTTCAATTTGATTAATGTACTGTTGACATATATATTTTTTTGAGACAGAACCTCAAGCTGTCACCCTGGGTAGAGTGCTGTGGCATCACAGTTCGCAGAAACCTCCAACTCCTGGGCTCAAACCATTCTCCTGCCTCCACCTCCCAAGTAGCTGGGATTATAGGTGCCCACCACTACACCCGGCTATTTTTTGGTTGTAGCCATCATTGTTGTTTGGGGGGCGTGGGCTAGATTTGAACTCGCCAGCTCAGGTGTATGTGGCTGGCACCTTTGTGCCACAGGCACCGAGCCTACTATTGATCTTTTTTTTTTTTTTACCATGCAACAAAACTTTCATTAACATTTTGAACAGGTTCAGCTGTTACTGAAACTGGCAATTTCTAAACTTAAATTGGGGCAAATGGCTATAGTGCAGAGTAATGCCATCACTGGGCACTGTGAATGTAAGACTGAAGAATTAACAGCCACCCCTCAGACGGAGGACCAGGTGTAGGGTTGACTCTTTCTGGATATTGTAGTCAGAAAGAGTACCACCATCTTCAAACTGCTTGCCAGCAAAGATGAGCCTCTGCTGGTCAGGAGGGATACCTTCTTTATCTTGGATCTTGGCCTTCACATTCTCGATGGTGTCACTGGGCTCCACCTCCAGGGTGATGGTCTTGCCAGTCAGGCTTTTTATGAAGATTTGCATTTTGACCTGTTGGCAAATGCGAAGACGCTACAAAGGTTTGATCACGTTTGACCGCTTAACGCTCACGAACAGCCTCTCGGAAAATCCAGTTGCTACTGAATCGATCTTTTTTTGTTTTGATACAGAGCCTCAAGCTATCCCCCTGGGTAGAGTGATGTGGCATCACAGCTCACAGCAACCTCCAACTCCTGGGCCCAAGCGAGTCTCCTGCCTCAGCCTCCCAAGCAGCTAGGACCACAGGCGCCCGCCACAACACCCGGCCACCTCTTTGGTTGCAGCCGTCACTGTCGTTTTGGCAGGCCCGGGCTGGATTCGAACCCGCCACCTTAGGTGTATGTGGCTGGCGCCCTAGCCACCTGAGCCACAGGCGCCGAGCCTATTGATCTTTTTATATGTTTATTGACCATATATTTTTCTTCTGTGAAGTGCTGATTCATGACTTTTATGCAGTTTTTATTGATTTGTTTCTCTTTTTTTAAATTCATTTGTAGCAGCCAGTCCTTTTATATAACTCATTATTCAAATACCCCCCCTTTTGTTATATTTGTTGCAGACATGTACTGAATCTGTGGCTGGGATGTTTTTCTTTGTCAGTAGTGTCTTTGGTCATATGGAAGCCTTTCAATTTAAAGTTGTCAAGTTTATTGATCTACTGTTAGCTAAGACTATGTTATTGGGGGCGGCACATGTTGCTCAGTGGGTAGGGTGCCGGCCACATACACCCAGGCTGGTGGGTTCGAACCCAGCTGGGCCAGCTAAACAACAATGACATCTGCAACCAAAAAATAGCCAGGCATTGTGGCAGGTGCCTGTAGTCCCAGCTACTTGGGAGGCTGAGCAAGAGAATCACTTAAGCCCTAGAGTTTGAGGTTGCTGTGATGCCGTGGCACTATACCGAGGGTGACATAGTGAGACTCTGTCTCCAAAAAAAAAAAAAAAGGGCATCGCCTGTGGCTCAGTGAGTAGGGTGCCAGCCCCATATACGGAGGGTGGTGGGTTCAAACTCAGCCCCAGCCAAACTGCAAAAAAAAAAAAAAAACTATGTTATTGGGTACAAGCAAATTCAAATGTTTTGTATTTTCATGGTAAATCTTTCCTTTTATCATGCTTGTGTCTTTTTTTTTTTTTTTTTGAAACAGAGCCTCAAGCT